TGATTATTTTAATTTAGAATGATCTTGTTTTTAGAATGGAATGTGTTTGACTTTAGAAACTATTATAAACTTAGAAATTATTAATTTTAGATTGTTTTAATGAATCACATCATATTATTGAAGAAAATTTAAAGGGCCAAACGAGAAATAAAAAAAATCTTAATGTATCTACAATGAAAATGAATAAAAAATTTACCCTTTAACCAGCTTCTCTGTTTACAAATTAATATTCAAATATCTCTGAATATTTGTTATCTTGTAAAAGGAATACTCTGAATACATGTAAATAAAAATTTAGGAATTTTGAGAAATTGTGTTACCTAGTTTTATTTATGCATGCAAGATTATTTTCAATAATTTTATTTATATATACGACATATATCAGGGTCACTTTCCCCTTGTTTTGAATACTACAGTGTGTTGGAAAAAAAATTGACAATAGACATGATTATAAATTTTACAGTAAAAATTCTATTTAGAAATACATAATTCATGCTTCCAGGTTCACAATGCTAAGTAGGTAGTTAGTAAGATCTAAAGCCATGGATAGTGAAACTTATAAAGTTGTGATCAAAGAAACAGTTTTTTTTGGAAGGGGAGGGGGACAGAGACTTGGACCGTAGACCTCAAAACATGAGAAGATCTTAGTAACCAGGGACAGAAAAATCTGAATTGAGTTTTGGACCAGCCAAAGCCAGTGATGTGTGGGAAAACTATTTAAAATAAAAAGATTCCTTTGCTTGAGGCACTTTGAGAGAATGGATTACACCCAATGTACAAAAAAGATCTTTAATGGTCAATGCCAAGGTGAAAGAAATGGGGAAGATGAATGGATAAATGAGGTTGAAATAAACCACAAGAAATTTAAAAATGTTGGCATAAAGCAGAATACTTTGCAGTTAAACTGTTTAGGAACTGCCGTACCAAAGATTAAGTGCAACTATTTGTCTATAATTTAAACACGGGTGCTGATAATCTAACATTTTCCTCTAAAATCCTTTTTCACATACTTTTTCAAATATGTACTAAACTAATAGCATTGAGTTTAATTATATCATAAATATTGGAATATAATTTCTTACTGACCTCTAAATGTGTCCTGAACATAATAATATGAAAACTTGAAGAGTTGGTATATACATTTTAAATTATGCATAAAATCATGTGTTATGTGTACTAAATTTGCATGGAATAAATTTTTTATGTCATTAATGCTGGTGATAAATTATAATTGATAGAAATTATTTATTCAATAAATTTATATCTATTTTCTTTTGTAGGACTATTCTCAAATCAATGATGTTTCTGCAAATTATTTACGAGGCAAAGATATGGTAGTTCTTGGTTGCCTGATTAGTGAAATCGCTCTATCAACTCATTGCAAAGTTTTACCTCAAAACTCTTCTTTCAAAACATGTTATGATGACTTACTTAAACTATTACGAATATATAGACAAGAAATACCAAGTTATTAACTAGTTTTAGCTTTACATTAAATAGGTTCTGCTTATTTTCTTTATAATGTCGGAGATTCCACTTCATATGTTGCTATTAGAATTGGTAATGAACCTAGTATGGGCTCACAACACGCTTCTCAAAATTTAAATAAGTTTTAGTGTACAGGCCATGACTTAAGTCTAAAAAAAGTTCTAATTTTTTTATGAGTACTTAAGTATTTTGAAATTTTCATACCCTTTGACAAATTCTTTTTTAATATTCTTATTAGACATGATCAAATTTTTGTAATTTTTTACCCATTTCTAAACATCTATTTTCACCTATAAATAACGACTATTAAAAACGACTGTAATTATTAAAATACAACTTTTTGCATGCAGAACTTTCAGTGGGTTAAATGATAAAAAGTTAATGAAACTTTTTTTCATCCAGTCAAAAAAACATTATGCATTGTATATATGCATAATGTTATTGTTCATTGTTGTTATATATACAGTGCACTCCGATTATCCGGGTTGATCACCGGGACAGGTCGCATGGACAATCGAAAAACACGGATAATCCGAAACTCCTTTTAAAAAAAATGTGTAATGCGTCATATTGTCACATATTTTACGAATCGCATTAATGTCACCGTAATCAGATACTCCCTTATAAACTAATAAAGTTTCCTTAGAGCAGCAGAATGAGAAATTGTATTTTCCTCATTTACTACATCTTCTGCATCAGTTACTATCGTCATTATTTGATTTAACAACATAACGATGTCTTCATCAGTCAAATACTGGAAGCCAGGCTCACATGCATCACTTTGAAACCAATCTTCTAAATTTTCTTCATCAAGAATTTCGAAACCTTCGATTTCTTTTGCTTGTTCAAGAATACTATTATCATACTCTTCTTGAATATCTGAAGAGGATTGTTCATCAAGCGGTATGATCTTTCTCCAAGATCGTGATAAAGTAGACGGATTTACCTTTGACCATGCTGCTGATATTCCATATACTGCAATTCAATAACGAATATTGCTTTCAAAAATTTGGTAGTGTTATAACTTCATGAATCAAATTTTTTTAATCTTGAAAATGTTTCTCTTTAAATTTTTTGTTGGCTCCGGAATGAGCACGGATAATCCCCAAACCGGATAATCCGCGCACAGTTAATCAAGAGTGTACTGTATATATATATATATATATAACATGCAAAAATTACCGAACGATAAAAAAAGAAAATTAATAAAAGAAATCTGGAAAAAAAATTTGAAAAAAGGGGGATAAAATTATAAAGATATAATCTTTTCATCAGCTCACACGATTATATCTGCAAAAAGGAATGCTTTCTAATATTGTACCAAAGAAAAATATATCAATGCAATAATGTGAGGAGCATTAAAAAAAATTTACAACAAACAAAATAGAGCACATTAAGTAAAAATATCAGGTAAAAACAGAAAATGAAATATAAAGAAAAACAGAATAAAACATAAAACAAAATCTTTAAAGCGAGTAGCAAATTCAAATGAAGTTATATAAACGGGAATTTTTCAAGAAAGATTTAAAATATTTTCGTAACAAGATTGTCAGATTACAAAATCTGAAAACAGAAACACAAATTGAAGTAAAAGCATAAATAGAAGAGTTTTATTTTTATAGTGCGTTCTTACTGCAGTACTAAAGTGCGTTTGATTTGTTACTTACTGAGGATGAGCCCTAAAATGTATGTACGCAAGGTAATAGTATCAGGGATAAAATTTTTCCGCTTTTTAGAGGATTTCCGCTTTTTTTACTTTTGTCTCTCGAATGACAGAACATCTGTCATCAGCACAAATTAAGATAATTTAGCATTAAACTATACTTATTTATACTTGCGAATATAATGAAAACTTTTGGACTGGCTACAATTTATGTTTATTGCCTGCATATTAATTTCTCTATTGTTGTTTGCTGGACAGTATAACACTCTTTTTGTTTTAAGTTTTCTGGTCTATTGAAATTAATGTGTTTCTGAGATTAATTCACAAAAAATACGCATTTCAGCATGTGCTATAGCATTTGTAGAAACTTAAACAGGGAGCACAATTATCATGGTGTTTCTAATATTTAAAAATCAAAATTTGATATTTATTCAATATTCTAATATTTATCCCATAATTTGGTATATACCTGATGTTTTTAATTTAAAAGTTAACTTTAGAGTTGACGGGGGCATAAGATTCTTCTAATTTTTGAATTTTAAAAGTTGAAACTTAGCTACTAAACTTTATTATTCTTTTATTCTCTTATATCTTGATTAATATATAAAGCTTAACACCCCATAGCTTTATATATTTAGCTTGGTTGGGCTGTCAATGTACGTATGTAGTTAAGAAGAAGAAAAAAAAACTTTAAATAAATATGTCAGTAATTTAAATGTTTACTTTTTATGAAAAATAGTTTGACCCACCTTTTTATTTATTATTTCACGATTCAAATTGATAGGTATTTTCAGACTTTTTTTCCTTTTCTACTCTCATGCAAATAATAAATAATATTTTTAAACATGGTATCGAAAAATATTATCAAACATGGTATAAACATTAAAACATAAAAATGATATTTTTCAACTTGTTCGTTATTTGGGGGGTACCCTTGTGTAAAGTTTTGAACCAAGAAAATTGGATTTGTTCAATATTAAAAAGCAACCATGCTTTAAATTACTTTAAAACCTATCTTCACACATTTGATATGAATGTGTTAAGGTAGCATTTATATTAAATTCTGCCTTCTATATCTAATTCCATGCTTACCAAGTCTCCTGTTTTTTAATGAAGACTCCTGTATTTATGAATATATCCTGTTTACCTGTGTATTCTCAAATGTCTCTGCATTTGTGGATGAAAGTTTGGCTATGAAATATCTGCTAATGGCAAAAATACTTCTCTAATTCCTCAATAGATACTGCAGTGTGTTAAGTATTAATGGTTTTAAGTATCTTAAAAAAATCTACTTAAGATTTATATACATATTTTTTATTTTGCAAAATGTTAGTGCTTATATTCTTTCCAATTTTGACTTTCATGATTTTGCATGATCTATCAAAACTTTACTGCTCTAGTTGCTCAAATAATGTCACTAGTAAAACCTCTGTTATTTTATTTCTCCAATGTTGGCATGTATGTAATTCTGCCTTCTATTATTGTTGCAGCAAATTGCAGGCATCAATGAGAACGCCATTTTAGAGCGAGTCATTCTGAGCCACAGAAGTCTCCAAGGAATGCCTCAGCAACTTGCAGAAGTGTATTACATCATGGAAGCCCAGCAGCTCAATGGTTATGGCTTAGAGTGTTTTCCTGCTAAAGTAAATCAATTCTTTTCAGTTTTGTTTTATAACATCTGGTTCTGGCCACTTTTTTAGTTTTCATGTTATTGGATCAAACTAGTATTACTAATGATAGCTCGAGTTCCTATTATCCTGAAGACTCTGGTAGTAGCAGAATTTTTATTCTTTGCAGTATTTTCTCAATTTAGATTAATACTTTTGTTTCGAAACAACATAGAGAAGACCCAACAGCTTTTGCTTTATTATTTTTAAAAAGCTATATAAAATTTAATCTGGTGATGCTGCAGTAACTGCTGCCTGGCCGAGGACCAAGTGTAAATCTCAAATGATCACTGTACCTTTCTAACTAAGAATTAACTACTAAAATTAGTAGCTACAAATAATAGAAAAAACTATATAATAAGCTGAAGATGTTTGATAGCTGTTTTTCTAACTAATTTCAATTAATATTTCTAAAAATACAGTAGTAATATCCTTAAATTTTCATGACATAAAGTCATTCATTTTTAAGGTGTCAAAACACTTCTGAACCAATTTTTCACCACTTTTTTTAAAAATACATTTTACCTTAACTGCACTATCTTCATAACAAAGGCAGTTAATAGATTTATTTAAGTATGTAGCAATTCATTTATTGTTGTTGCTCTCCTAGCCCACTAAGCCACTGGGGGTGTGATTGTTATTGTTTTCCAGTGGTGCCAATTATAGCCTTGTATTCTACTTCTGCCACACCCATACCTTACACCTGTTTAAAAGGCAGACCCACTCATTCATCCACTGATCATAATTTTAACCTGAACCAGAGAAAGATCATTCTCTAATCCAGTACCCCCAGAGGTATAATTTGTTATGGGAACATGGAGGACTTTGTTGATGCACAGACCTGCATGCTTTTCCACGTGGGTTATTTATGTGTATGGAGATGACGTCCTTGATGTTTGTGTGCACCGTTATGCTGTTGCAATAGTTGATGATTTTGTGCCGCAGGACAATAACGCAATGCTGCATAGGGCTCTTATCGTAAATTATTACCTTCAGAACCAAACAATTGGAGAGGCCAGTGCAATCACCGAACTTGAATACTATCAAGCATATTTGGGATGCTTAAGAAAGATGTGTTGGTGTTCTCAATCCTCCTCATTGCAACAATGGCCCGCAAGCTTCCAATAGAACGGGTAGCCCACTTAATTGAAAGCATCACGTATGGCTCATACTTTTCTATTCAAAACTAACTCTTCTGATTTATTAATTTTAAACATATGCTAATTTCTGTAACACCATAATTCTCTGGCCAACAATTTTAATATTATTTTATACTTTATTATGTGCACTATGATAGTAACCGGTTTTATTAAATTTTATACTTAACTTTTTAAGCTATGGTAATTTTCGTGATTTTTAAAATGATGACATTTAAGTTGTTACTGACTCCTAGAAGCCCAAAATATTTTTTTCTGCATCACTGTTTTTAAAAAATTTGTTTACCTCCGAGAGACAAGGTGGGTTTATGCTGCGGGTTTGAGCTCACTACTGAAAAAGGGTTTCAGACTCTTCCGAGCTTGAACTCATGATAAAATTTTCATATACCTTTTTGCTACTTTTAAACAAACTGTTGGTGCAATTATCAAGTATAAATTTTTTTAAAACTAATTGTGATAATAAGGTTTAAATCACTAATTTCCTTGTTTAGGTATCAAAGGGCAAGTGACAAGACCACATAAAATTGGCTTTTATCCTATGTATGCATTGAGCTCAAAGTAATCCTATATATCTCAAGCTCGGGTGAGTTTGGAATGAAATTCTATGGGATGACTTGAATCTCTAAGACTAAGAATCTCTAAGCCAAACTTATCTCTAGTACCCCTGCTGTAAAGTTCTTTTGCCTACACTGCTAAACATTCATTTTTAAAAAATGAGATTTTCTCTTGTGTGCTCCAAAAAATATTTTTATCAAAGAAAAAGATACTATAACAGACCTGCCAACTTTCAGTTTTTTTTTTTTTGCAAAACTCGATCAACGTGAGTATTTTTTTAGGGGTTTTTAAGAGTGATTCCTGCTTAGTATAACTTGAGAGCAACTTCATTTGTTTATTTTTTAAGTCCCTAGTTTTTTGTTGATAATTTTTCGATATGAGTGGAAGTTTTTAGGAAAAGACATAACTCCTTTCTTGATCTTTTAGAAACTCGGTTATGTGCAGACATTTCAAATTTTTCTCATTTTTAGTAGAATATTTACAAAATGGAATTAAGTCAGTGTGCAGGAAAAGTAATGACTGCAGTTTGTTGGTGATATTCACCATGCCTGACAATGATGTGACTGTAGGAAAAAATTCTGCCGTGCAAAAAAAATCCAGAATTTTTAAAACAAACTGGAGAATTTATTGATCGGGAAAATAATGTAAATATAAATGCTAAATCAGTCACACAATTTATTTTCGAACAAAAGATTAATTTATTATTTTGTAATATTTAGAGGTAAGAAAAAGTTACTGAAATATACTTTCAAAGCTTAATTAGAAATATGTGTGAATTTACTGTTTTTGTTTATCTTTTCTTATTGTTTTGCTAACATCTGCGGTCATAAGAAGCCTCTGGCATTTTTGAGGTTGGTTATTCTGCTTTTATCTCTTTATCTTTACTTCTTAAACAGTTTTATTTTGAATTATGTACTTATTGTATTATTATTAACTTTAAAAAAATAAATAAAATAAAAACTTCGTGTTAATTTTTTGATTTTTAAAAAAATTAAAAATTCACTTTAGCAATGGCCAATTAATAGGGATTTGTTTTAAGAAAAAGAGGACATTGGAGAATTGAGATATTAAAACAAACTTATCTGCACACATACAATGAATTAATCAACAACAACACGCCAGTATGGTAGGTCCTTTTACTTGACTAGTGAAGCGTAATTTAGTGTTTTTCTGCTAGAAAACAACAAATTTCGTCAAAATGAAGGTACGGTTTAACCCCACTCTCTCCTATATATTTATTTCTGACTAGTAAATATGTATTATAACTGTTCACAATGTGAATACTCATGACTATTTCAATTTCTCTTAATATAAACTAGAAATGAAAATCTTTAACTACCAGTTTTTTCTCTTTTCTTCTTAAAATACACTCCAGTTATTGCACCTAGCAACATTGAGTTGTGAAAAGTTTAGATATTCCCTGTACATGCTGTCAAGCTTAAATTTTTTTCATTACAAAATTTTTGTGTGTATTTTCTTGTAAATTTTAGCTTCATTTCTTGATTCTAACCATTTTTGTGCAATATATATTTTTTTGGGACAATCATTATCTTCATGATTTGTTTATTTCTTTTTTCTTTTTTTTTAGGATCATGCTGATAATCTATTATCATTGGGATATTGTTCATAGGCATTTATATATGGTACCTTAACAACCAACCATCGATTTATTTTTCGTAAGTCCTTATAATTAAAGCACATTTGTTTTGTATACTTTATACATGTAATTTATGTTTATTTTCATTTTATCTCAAGAGTCCTACTTTTGTTGGGTATAATGATGCCTGTAACACTAAATGAATACTGAGTTGGTTAAAACACAAACATCTTTATTGACGGTGATAGGAGAACTCAACTTAACTTTGATTCACAAACTGGGAGTTTACTTATTAGGTGTTGCCAAAACATAGTGAGTAATACTAATGTTCCGAATGTCACACGATATCTCCCCTTTTTTGAAGAAAATTAAATGTAAAAAGTAAAGTACAAACATTATTAAAAAATGAATTCAATCAAAAATATGTTAAAGAATCAAATTGATAATGAAAGGCATGTAAAAGAGTTGTGGGGATGATAGTTAACGACAATATCAACCTTCATGTATGAAAAGGTACCCTTACATGTAATCAAGCTAACATGTCTTTGCTAGTGAATTGAAATTATATTTTTGTAGTGGTAGACACACTATATTACTCCCCCACCAAATTCGATGCATGGATACCACTAGTTGATTCATTGCTGATTTGTGAGAAGCCGGGAGAACTTTTTTTTCTTTTCCTCTAGTCGTGGACACTTACCTAGGTTTGCAAAACCCTTTCCCATATAGTCCGCTTCTGACTACCAGTCCAGCTACATAAATTACATACATAGATAATTTTTGCCATAAAATTTAGGATACGACATTTTGCATTTGCAGATGACAAAGGTGTGTATCACATTTGTTTAAAAAGAAAAAAGAAACAATAAATGAAGTAAAAAGAACAATAAATGAAGTAAACAGAACAATAAATGAAGTAAAAAGAACAATAAATGAAACAAATTTTGTTCTATACATAAAATGGTTGAAAAAGAGAAATAAAAGGAAAAGAAAAAGTGTACATGATCGAAATGTATCATTTAGTTCACAGCCGTAGTCACTCCTGTGTTGTCATTAGCAGCCGAATGTATACAGGCTGACATTGTGGGATTGAAACTGGGTAGCAACAGTGCAAGTAGTGACTTTTTTCCCCTTTATATTTCAATATTATCTTTTAAAAGAAAAGTCAGGTTGAAGTGAAATTGTAATTTTTTAAAATTAATATTTTAATGTAACAAATGTTCTAATATGTTTTAAGAGTAAATATTATTTGAGAATACTGATACACAGGGTTTGTTGATTTAAATCGGCTTGATTTAAATCACGATTTAAATCAAATGATTTTTTTTTAAAAAAATCATCGATTTAAATCAACTAATTTTTTTGAATGTATATATTGATTTTAAAAGTTAAAAAACAGTGTTTTAAATTATTGATACTTTTATTATTTTTTTTCCTTAGTTTTAAAATTTATTTGAAATTAATTGCTGCATTAATTTTAGTTAATGACTTTCTTTAGTTACTTTCTTTCTTGGTGTGTGTTAATGAAAGTACAGATTAAAGTAAACATTTAATGCTGTTGTACTATAGACTTGCATAGCTGTAGAAAATAATTAATAAACATGAATTTTTTTCAAAAAATAATGCAAATAATGTCATTTAAAATTCTACCTTTTGAATGAAAAAGCGTGGAATTACAATTTACATTATATTTTATTGGTGAAAAAAGTATATTTCTGAAGCTTGAGGTTATATTAAAAAGAAATTACCCTAATATGCCAAAAAAAGAAGAAAAAAACTAATGAATTCATATATTTTTTTCCTGATATAGTGTCATTCTTCCTTTTCAAACTCTTTCAAAGTTTATTTGAAGCAGTAGGATTATTAACTGGTATTTTTTTCTCATAATATGTTTACTGTATCTTTGATATTATCTGATATTCTATAAAGAAATTCTGTGGGGAAAAAATTCAAATGAGTACATAGATTTTTAAAAATATTTTTTTAGCTAACTTATCTATTTTAATATAGAATTAAAAATGAATATTTTAATATAAAAATATATAGATTAAATATTTATTTATTTTTTGATGAATGACTACATTTATAAACACAATCTGATACATTGATTTTGTCATTTTAAAAATCATGAAGAAAAAAAAAAAGAAATCACAATTTGAAATTAAAATTATGATTTACCAATTGAAACCTTCTTTTTAAGTATTATTTATATTTTTTATTTAATCTAATCTTTAAATTTCAATCATGCATTTGTTTCAAAATGGTTGCTATGCATTCAAAACCATGTATTATAATGAAAAATTATTTTAGTAAGTCAGAGCTTCTAAAATATTGTTATAATATAATATTAATTTAATTTTGACTAAACATTTATAAAGTTTTTTTTAATCATAAATTAAAGTTCTTACAATGTGTTCGAATAAAAAAAAAGAAATCTGATTTAAATCAAAAAATCCGATTTAAATCAAATATTAAAATATGGTTTGCTAATTGAGACTTTGTTTTAGTAATTAAAGTACAGGGGTCTGTTCAAGCCAAATTTACTACCGTTTAGCAGTACCTTCACAAATTCAACTTTAGGAAAAACGGTAGAATAATTTCACAAAATACTTTTTTCTTAAAATTTTATTTTTGTGTTTTGTAAGAAACAATAAATTCATATTTTTACCATATTTGTGTTGATTTTTTAATTTTCACAAATTATGTCTAAATTTTAACAAAATAGGTACCTTTCAGAAAAACCCATACAAATCCCTGAAGTATTCTTTAAATGTAATATTTCATGTAGTCTTTAAATTTCAATCATGCATTTGTTCAAAATGGTTGCTTTGCATTCATAGCTATGTATTACAATGAAAAATTATTTTAGTAAGTTAGAGCTTTTAAGATATTGTTATTATATAGTTTTAACATTAATTTAATTTTGATTAAGCATTTCAATCAAAAAAATCAAATCAATCAAACCAATCAAAAAAATTTCAATCATTCAAATCAAAAAAATCACGAGCCCTGCTGATACATAACTCGCAGATTTGATTAACCCTTTATATCCTGACGACACTCATGCATTTGGTTCCACTTAACATTAAATAAAATAATATTTCTATAATCCAACAGATTTTCTTGATCTTTTTATTTAAATAGTTTTCGTATCTTAACTACAAAAACACACTAAAAGTTTAATTTAATCATGATAATTAAAAATAAGTTTCACAAGTTTNAATAAAATAATATTTCCATAATCCAACAGATTTTCTTGATCTTTTTATTTAAATAGTTTTCATATCTAACTACAAAAACACACTAAAAGTTTAATCTAATCATTATAAATAAAAATAAGTTTCACAAGTTTCCTGAAAATATAATTTGGGATATAAAGTGCTATTACGCAATTCCACTTTTATATATAAGTGTTTATCCTATTCAATCTATGATACTTATGACTAAGTAGCATATTATTACTAATTGAAACTGCAATGTTAAAAGTTTTGTTGGAGTGGGAAATGGCGGGTCACGAATTTTATTATGAAAGGTCGGGAAAAATCTGCAAAAGGCAGGATATTGTTTTCTCAAAATAGTGTAGGAACCCTGCACTGACAAAAAAGAATAAATTTATATCTGATGCATGAAAGACACAGGTTAATCCAAATAAAGTTTGAAGTGCACACGTTTTATCACTGGGTTTAATGATAAACGTGAAGAACTAGATATAGATGTTTACTATGTGGTTTATGCAATTTTCTTCTGTTTGAATCTAATTACCATCTGAGGAAAAAATAACTCGTTCACTAAAACTGCTTTTGATTTGCAGGTTGCTGAGATTTTTTTTCTATAATACTGAAATTTTAAACTGAAAACTTGTTTAAGTATAACTAGGAACAATAAAAGCACAAAAAAGTTTTATAATTGAATAAAAATTAATAATTTAAATGTCATTCAAAATAATTAAATTAGTTCTTTTATATTAAAAATGGGGTTAATATTAAAGATATATCATTCTGCTAATGATTTTTACTAACAAAGAAATTAAAATAGTCTTTAATTTCTTACTTCCTGTTATCAAGCTTCTAGCAAAGTGTCTTCTCCTCACCCCTAACAGATTTACCAATATAATTTTCTCCCCCCCCCCCCTCAAAAAACCCTTCTCTTAACTCCATTTAAAAAAGCCATTTTAAAAAAATACTTAGATAACTTTTCCATATATTCTGAATTTGATTATTGATGAAGCTTCTTTTTTCTAAACCCTAATAAATTTCACAATATAATTAACCCCCCCCCCAAAGGACTGGGGAGGGAGATTTTTAAAAACTAATTTTGCAAATAAAAAGTAATAACTTTTCCTTACTGTCTGAAATAGATCATCTTGTAAAGATTTTTCTACATATATTTTTATATTATATTATGTGTACATATATTTTTATTTTAGTTAATATATATTATGACAAAATAAAATAATTTCAATTTTTAAATCTTTTTTCATTTGTGTCACTTTAAACATAAGCATATTAAGCAAAGAAGACTGTTAGACAAGGATGGAAATAGATTCATGCAAAATGAAAAAAACAATAAAAAAATATGAAATAGTACTCACCTTATTTTGCAGATTAAAAATTTAATGAATCATTTCATTTCAGAAGAAAATTCAACTTAAATTAAACCTATCTTGAAAAATACTGAAAAAAGTAAATATTGGTTACGACAAATGTTCCATGTGCAAGAAAGAAGAAATTTTCTCAACTGTTGTCTGTAAACCAGTTATTCACACAAAGAGCAATAAACCTAGCAATCCTATCAAAAATTCTTTATCATTGGATAAACAGGAGGAAAATTGCTAACAGGACAGGTTCTACCAGGGAAAGAGGAATGTTATCATGAGGAAATTACATATTTTGAATTACAGAATTTTTCCTTGAAACTTTATTTTTGCCTGTCAGTCTTTGAATGAACTATAGTTTTTTATTTTTCTAACTTTATGAATATGTCAGAAAAATCCTGACTTTTTATCTTAATTTTATAATATCCTGACTTTTGCAGGTTTTCCTGACCGTGTAGGAACCCTGTTTTAGGTTAGCAAACTAAGTACAATTGTTAGATAAATAAACATATTTTATTTTTGTTTGCATTCATTCTCTTTAAAAGAATTTTTAAATATTTATTTATTCCTTCTTAAAGCACCACAAAAAAGAAAACATTTTACTCCAGCCCATTACATAGGATGTTCCAATCATAAAACATGTTTTAAAAAACCAGAAAGAGGACAAGAAAATAAACATTCGGGGGATTACAAGTTAACACTCATGCAAAGAAAAAAATGAAAACACTATTAAAAATCTAACAAATCATATTTGAAGGAGGTCG